ATGTTTAACCTCTTCTAAAAAGTGTCAATATTAATAAAAAAAAAACTATTGAGATATGTTCTAAGAATTTTCAGCATCCAAAAATCGATGACTCCCTACGTTCATTAATTTTCTTGTACTTTTATAATAGTAAGAAGATGTGGGTACAATGATTAATTTATAGAAAGGTAAATGTACAACTACCCCTACACTATGGCCGAAATCATAGAGACACACCTTAATTAAACTAAGGTCCTATTACCACCTAAACTCTTTTTTGTAATTTTGTGAATCTTTTTGGCTTACGTGGTATTCAAACTTTTTTTTTGGTAATTTTGTGCACCTTTTTGACTTACGTGGTATTCAAATATCTCTCACGCGCCTCAATTGCGTAGAGTCACAGAGTGTGCCATGTAAGACAAAAGGTGCAAAAAATTACAATAAAACTAAGATCCGGGGGGGGGGGTAATAGAACCTTAGTTTAGTTAAGGAGTATTTCTGAAATTTCGGTCATAGTTTAGGGGTACTTGTCCATTTCCCCTTATAGAAATAAATTTGAAGGTTTTTAATTGCGAGGTGAAAATTCAACACAATGATGTGTGATGTGCATATTATATTATTTCTAGTACAAAAAATTAAAAATAGAGAAGGGATAATGCATAATATCTCTTAACCTTTGACCGAAATCGCAAAGACCCACTTAAACATAACTAAGATACTATTACCCCTGAGCTCATTTTATTCGTATTTTTGTGCAACTTTTGTGCTCATGTGACACCTTTAACCACCCAAGTTGGTTGTGTTTGTACACACTCGCCCGTTATGTGTATAAATAATTTTTTTAATTAGAAAATATTTTTTAAAAAATTTAAAAATATTTCTTATTTTTTAAAAAATTAATATTTTGTAATTTTTTTAAAAATAAAATTTTAATTTTTCAAAGAAAAAAATTCTTATTATTTATCTTGTATTTAAATTAAGTTGACATCTTTTTACCTTGTATCGAAATAATTTTTTTTCTTACATTCATTTTTTCTATTTTATTTTTCTATTGAGTTTATTTTTTTTGTCTTTTTCGTTTTGATTTGATTGTAAATATCTTGTATTCAAAATAAGTTAATTTTGTATGGATATGAAAATACGTGAAGAAAATCAAATAAAACATAAAACTATTAAAACATTAAAATTAAAGGACAGTTTTAAATTATTTTCTAAAAATTACACACAATTTATTAAAAATAATTAAAAGTGAAAAGATAATAAATTAAAAAAATTCAAGGTGAAGAAATTAAAATAAATATTTTACAAAGAAAGAAACAGAATCATTAAATATATACAAGTTTTATTATCAATAATTATGTGTACTACCTAATTACAAAGTGACCAATTAAAAAATGACATGTGTCCAATTTATGCACTCATCACTTGCCTTGAGGAGAGTGTGCATTCGTTTTAGGACATGTCAGCGTTTGTGGTGTATTTATTCTATTATAAATTAGTTTTGGGGTAATAGGACTCTCGTTAATTTTAGGCGTGTCTTTGTAATTTCGGTCATAGTCTAGGTGGTACTTATGCATTTTCCCAATCGAAAATGAATGGGAAAATGAAAATAACAGCTCAAAATGGAGGGAATGAGTTACTAAAGTGAGTTTCTAAGCAAATTGAGAGTAAATAATTTTATTTTGAGTTTGTTACATGTTTTTCTGTCAAAAATAAGGGTATATTTGCATCAAAGTATAATGAGAGGGATATATTTGGACTCAAAGTATAATATGAGGGGTATATTTGGAGCAAGAGTATAATGAAAATAATATTTAAAGTATTTCCTTTAGTATAAGAGTATATTTGACCATTGCCCCATTACATTATTATAATTTTTCAGGCTGGAAGTTAATAATTTATTTTTTATTTGTTTTGTTCTTTATTCAGTTTGAATGTAACCTTGCATCTTACTAGTTTTGGGAACGTGGGATGCACGTTTTACTATGTACAATTTGTAGCCAGTATAAAATTGTAAATTAAAAATTATATATTCGTCCACATGTACATAATTTTAATTTTTTTTAATTACATACATATACTTATTAAAGGAGTAGATATTATGTCCCAATTTCATGAAGTTGTAAACAAATGATTCATTACAATTATCAACCCACTTAGCTGGTCGTGGTCTGAATGACGGACCGTTAGTGGCACCCTAGTTTGGCCTCCGTTAAATTTTAAATTAGGGTCATTTTGGTCTTTTTCCCTACGTGTTGGACATTTAAATTGTGTTGTTTAACTCCTAAACTATGTCATTTTACTCAGTCTAAGCCTAGTAATTTAGTCGGAACTTACCCTAATCGATTATTGACCAAAATTCGACAAAACATAGAGTAAAATGAAGATGAAGGTCTACCAACCTCTCCAGAACAAGCAAAAGGTATTCTTCAAGTTCCACCCCCCAAAATCAGAGGATTTGATTTTGGATTTTGTCACCAGGTATGTGGGATTTTACTGGTGGATTTCTTGCGTCTACTAGGTCCCTACAATTCGGTTAGATTCTTGATTCTTTATATATTGTTTCGACCTAGGGTTTTCTAAAACCTTGTGAATTGTTGTGAATTAGTTGTTATAGTATTCTTAATCAAATTATCATGTTTTCTAGAAACGTTGCTTGGTTTCTTTCATGAAACTCAAAACTCTTGTAGTGTAGATTTTCTTAGTTCATGAATTAAACTTGCTAGGCAAGTTAAACAAATAAACATTCCTCAGATTGAATATTACATTGTAAGTAGAATTAGCACCAAGTTGGACTAGAGTTCAGACTACCCTCATAGTCCCAGAACTAGATGCCCCCGTAGGATTGTAAGTCCGCTCAATTGGGCATCAAATTTAGTGATCAAGCCAGTCATGCCTTTATACTCATAGCAAGGTATATTTGGTTATATCCATAAGGCGTATACATCGGACATTGGTCTTGGCTCATGTGCTTTTATGTTGATTTATAGTATCTCCTACAATCAGACTCTAGTGCATTTGACTAGGTTTACAGTTTCTAGTTTAGTATTCAGTCTCACACATGTCATGTTCATAACCAATACTTGTTGATTACATTTAACTCATTTGTCAGTTAAAAATTTGGTATCTTCATTATGTTCAGATTATGTCATTGCTCGGTTATGCTTTGTTCGACCTATATATTTGTACAAATATTATTTCTATCCTGCATGCCCAGTACATTCCAAGTACTAACACATACTTTAAGCTACATCCTTTCATGACGTAGGTTCAAGTATTCAGTATCTAGATCACGCATAGATATGTATCCAGTAGCTTCAAAGATGAGTCCTCATATCATACTTTAAGGACAATAGACATTTTCTTTTTCATATTCAATCTTTTAGTTTAGTTTTCAGTTTTGCTAGGGTTAGCTGGGCATGTCCCATTAACTCTAGTAAGTAGAGTCATTTTAGACATAGTAGTTGATTAAGCTTTATCTTTGAGTGAATGTGCAGTATCTCTGAACCTTAGCAAGCTATATACATTCATATCAATTTTGGGTATTCTCCACCTTCAGGTATCACTTGATTTAGCTTCCGCATTAGTTCATGTTTTTCTTAGAGATTCTCAGTATGCTTATGATAGGTGAGCTTCAGGGTTAGGTTGGGGTCACTCCTGATCATAGGTCCCATTTACATCAAGGGAGTAGCCTCCGGGCATGATAATTCACAACACTATGTTAATTGACTATAAAGTAACACAATCAAAATCTTTTTTCAATGTGATAATCTTTTAGCAATCATTTATTTAAATTACTTGTATTTAAAAAAGAAACATATTGCTAAACTATTCAATTATTATCAAAGTCATCAGGTATTAATAAAAGTTTTATCAATTGAGTAGAACTTACAAGAATAATAACACAAAAATAAATGAATAAAATTCCATAACAATACAAAATAATACAAAATTATATAAAAATATGGGTTGCATACCAAATTTATTTTGGACAACCATACCTTAACTCTAAAATAAACTTAAAATCATAAGCGCGCTACATAAGAAAGTTCTAAAGGAAGAGAAATTGGTCAAAAGCCCCCTCAATATATAGCAAGCTTTCCAACCACACGCACGTACACACGGTAGCATATGCCAAATCTCTCCACCCTTATCATCCCAAAATTGATGTGCCATTACCACCTTTCCACCGACAACGAAATTCTCAGACTATGTCGCCGGCAACGACATATCCCTACGGAGAGATTGAGAGCCCCAATTTAACCCCTATATTTTCTCCAAATCAAAGTTCTCACCAAATAGTTAGGGCTAAAATATGAATGAAGAACAAAGGTTTAAGAAGAAAAGGAACAAAAACGTCTCTTAAAAACAGATCTATAGGTAAGATACATCTGTCATCAGAATAGTGGTACCTCATATTCCACTAAACATCAAATTCACTTAACGACAATAAATTATACAAAAAAAAAATAAATTAATTCAAGAAGTAGAAGAGTAGAAGATTAGGAAAAATTGTGGTTGGAAAATGGGAGGAAGTCCCTCCATTTATAATCAACAAAGAGTAATACGAATAAATATTTTTTGTGTCTTATTTGAAAAATCATGACCTTTTCGAGAAGTCACAACGTATTAAAAAGCCACATCTCTTTGAAAAGTCAAAACTTATTAAAAAATCACAACCCTTTGAAAAAATCACAACTTATAAGAAAAGTGACAACTTATCAAAAAAGTCATAACCTAAGTTAGGGATATTATAGTAATTTAACATTCATGTTAGGAGTAAATGTTTTAAGGGTAAATATAGATATAGATGTAGATTTGGTCTATATAGAACATTTTTTGCATCTTTTTAAATTCTCCACAATTTGGTCATTCATGACTAACTAAAATTGATGATTATTGGCAATTAATTTAATTTTTAAAAAATAAAAATATGATAAACTTAATAAGTAACTGTAATTTCTTTATTAGATATTTTATTATTTATTTAAATATGTGTTATTAATGGTATTATTGTAGTAATTCAACTTTATAGAGGTATTTTGATATTTGATTTTTAACTTTTTTTCCCACTTATATAATACTAGTTTTGATGCATGTGCGTTGCACGTGAATATCAAATCATGTACCACACTATTTTTCCATCATAAAAAAATAGAAGATATACTAAATAAGATGTTTTAAAAAGAACAAGAATGAATATTTTTTTAAAAATGTAGTTTAAAAATTTGAGGAAGCCCCTATTTTTATATGCAACAAAGAGTAGCGTATAAAAAACTATGTATTGTGTGTTATCAAAGAGATGTCACAACGCTATAGAAAACTCACAACCCTTCAAAAAGGTCACAACTCATTAGAAAAGTCATAACTCTTCGGAAATGTCACCACTCTTCGGAAAAGTTACAACTCTTCCTAAAAGTCATAACCCTATAGAAGAGTCACAACCCTTCTAAAAGCTCACAACACATCTGCAAAGTTAAAACTCTTCGAAAATATCATAACCTTCAATGTCAAAATGTGTGTGTCTTTAGTATAATATAGTATAATACACATAAATAAATAAAAAACAAAAAGATATATTACATTTGGTGTTTTAAGTTAGGTAGTATAGACTGATAAAAAAATATAGATATAGATTTGTCTAATCTTATTTTGATATGGAATTTTACAAAATAAAGAAGAATTTTAATTTAAGGAGCATATGTTGAATATATAAAAATGTCTTTTCACTTTGTCGTCTTAATGATGTGCCCCACCCAAAGAAAAAACTAACATTTTATATTAAACTAAATAAAAGTAAAAGTACACTAAAAATATGATTAATATTACCAACTAAAACAATCTTACAAAAATAATTTTGAAACTTCAAGAATCTAAATTTTTATTTCTTAGATATGATAACTACTAAATCTAATAGGTCAATCTCAAGATCGTCGAAAAATTAAACTATAAAAGAAAAGTAACTTTAAGTTTCTTTTCTATTCCTACCCTGTCTCTCCCTAAATCTCTTATCAATTGCTGAAGAACTCTAGATATGGCCGATCCACCACCGGCGGAAGAACCGAACTTCATCACGTGTTCGGCGGTCTTGCAGCTATACCTCTTGACCGTACTTTTTACGCCCTACACATGATCACAACATACCAAGAAAATGTTGAAGATTTCCCTATGGAATTTCCAAATGTTAATTTGACAGCAGATGCCATCATTCTTGATAAATCATTCAATGATAATTTTTCAAACCCTATCAATGATGATGCATTTCAAAACCCATAATCTACCAGACTGTCTCGGGTTGGATTCAGGTTTCGACTCAAATCAAATGAACCCAACTAGCTTTTTTGATTGAATTTTATGAAAAATGTCTTGGAAAAGTTTTGACTATTGACGATCATGTGAATCGGACTTGTTGTTATGGGAAATACAGTGGTAAAGATCATAGCTCCCATTGTTGCCGGGGAGGTCAGGGTGAAAGCAATATGAAAAATACCAATTAGGTTGCAGATGAGTTTACTCATATGGGAAATGGTAGTGATCCTCTGGCAGCCTCTCTGTATGTCCCAAGGAATGATAAACTTGTTTAGATTGATGGGAAGTTGATAATTCAATCTGTATTGGCAAGTGAGAAAGCCATGGTATTTCATGGAAGTGATGATAAGAAAAATAGAAAGGCGGGCCTCACAGGTGATTTAGCCCCTGCTATCCCAGGAATCCATCCTCACCTTTATCAAAGTCCTGCAATGAGACAAAGCATTCTTGCATCCGAGGGGAGAGAGAATGCAAAGTCAACTACGCATGAGTGGTACCTTGAAGGTTTTGCCGGTAAGTGTTGTTAAATCTAGACTGACTATTAATTCATAATTTTTTTTAGTTTAAACGAATTCCTCTAGTGTTTTCTTTGAGAATTTAGGAACATTTAATTGCTTATTTGGGTCATACTTAATTCATGTTTTGGAATAACCTTCTGCTCTCCAGTATTTTAATTCATTTTTGTGTTCATTCGGGCAAGACCTTTGTTGAGGTCGGGCATGTGTACAAAAGTGTTCGAGTTTGATGCGTCATCTTCTGCTAGAGATACATCTATGGAAGAAAGGAAGAATGACACGCGCCTCCCAGAAATAGAAGGATCCTCAATGGGCCTCCAGTCTCCCTTTCTTGACCCTCTCACAACATTTCTGAAGAACAAACAGGAAAAAATGGAAAGCAAGAGAACTAGCCACATTCTTGCATGGTAGTACCTGTTCTTGTTCATGGTGATGGCGTCATACGTCCGAAGTCGATCTCCCGGATATTCGTTGTTATGCTTATTGATACTGTCAAATATGTAACCTATTCTTTCATGCTTCCATTTAAAGGATCTGCTCCTCTAGTGAACGCCGCTGAAGATGGAACATTCATACAGCGGAAGCATATCGGTCGTCTTCTTTATGTGTAATATGTTTATGCAATAATACTACACTATCTCTCTTTAAATATCGAAATAACCAAGCGAACAGTTCATTAAGTTATATGTATTATATTTGTGCATTTGATATTTACTCAAAAATTACAATTGTAGTTGCCAATTCCTTACATTAGCAAATAACCAGAAAACATTTTAATTTCTCCGAAATAATATGATATCTTACCTAGGAAACCAAAGCTTGGAATTTCGGTGAATTAAGAAAATAAGGGTAGAACAATTATACAACCACACACCTATCATAAAGAGAAAAGAAAGGATAAAAGAAGAGAACACATCCATATAGAGGCACACTCAATAATAACAAAACTCACGAAATAAAAATTGAGGTATTTTCATAATTTGTGGTTTCTTTTCTCTAGTTGTGTGTTTGTTGTCAGCTTGATCTTGACCATAGTGAGAAACTCAACAGCTTGTTTAGCATGTAACTTTTTATGTGTTAGCCAAGTTATGTCCAAAGGTTGTTCCTTATCATTGGTTTTTGACTCTGAAGATACTTTGATTGTTAAAGAAGAAATGGTGGATGAAACTTTTCCTGTAGGACGACAAGTTTGATAGTGCAAATTTTCCAAGTCCGGGAGAGTCATCATTGTGGTACAAAAGATATGTGCATTTTTAACTATGTTACTTTTAAGTATATGTATGAAATTTGATTGACTAAGGATTTACTTGAGAACTCACATTAAAAATTTTTATACATCTCAAATGGTAAGGTACACAGTAAAGCAGTTCCTAAAAGTTCTACCTGGAGGACAGCTAAAAAACTTGAATTGCTTTACATTGATGTGTGTGGAGCTATTCAGACATCATCTTTGGGGAAAAATGTTAGGTTCGAATCCACACACATACACTTAATAAATGAAGAATACAAGAACTTTTGACAGAGAGAGAGATGAGAGATCTAGAGAGAGAAAGACAGAGACCAATATTTCGTGGTAACACCCGGTGGGTAAACTTCCATGGCAGTGTGGTATATATTAATAATTCAGAGTATTTAGTTACAGAGAATAAATGGAGAATAAATAGTACAAAATAATATATGACAGACAGTACATCAAATATTAATCAGGCTTCAGAACCTAACAATTCTCCCACTTGGTGACTGATTCAATCATCCAAAAAATACATTCTCAAAAAAAATATCTTCTTCATCAATATCTTTACCGCACCGCAACATCTATAGCAACAAATAAAGAAGACTAACCGAGGTTTTGCATAACCCCAGTTTCCAAACATCAACACATTTCATCAGCATGTCTGTCGAGTTCTTTCCACCCTCTATCTTCTCCAAGCCCATATCACCATCTTCCACTGCCCTTGGAGTGAAATGGTACCGCCTTCTGATGTGCTTTGTCTTCGAATGATAGACTGGATTTTTCACCAATTGTATTGCACTCTAGCTATCTGAGTAAAGAATCTTCTCGCTCTGCTTCTTGCCCGATTCCTCCAGATAGCCTGCCAGCCATATCATTTTTTCCCAGCTTCAGCTATTTCCACATACTCAACTTCAGTAGATGAAAGAGAAACACACTTCTGAAGCCTGGACATCCAACTCACTGTTGTTCCACCTATGGTGTAAATGTACCCAGATGTACTCTTGCTCGAGTCCACATCCCCACCAAGATTAGCATCCACAAAACCCTGTAGAGTCACCGTGCCTTTTCCAAAACAAAGTGCAGTACTGAATGTACCTCTCATAAATCTCAGAAGCCACTTCACATCTTCCCAATGCTCTTTCCCCGGGTTTGTCATGTACCTGCTAACAACTCCAACTGAATGTACTATATCAGGTTTAGTGCAGACCATAGCATACATCAAACTCCCATCTGCTGAGGCAGATGGAACAAGTGACATATGCTCACGCTCCTCGGTTGTCTTGGGTGACTGCTTCTTTGACAATTTAAAGTGATTTTACAATGGAGTAGTCCAGGGTTTAGCATAATTAACACTGAATCTTCTAAACACCTTCTCAATGTACAACTCCTGATATAGATTTAAAGTGCCAGCAGATCTATCGCGAGAATCCTCATCCCCAAAATCTACTTTGCTGGACCCAAATCTTTCATCTCAAATGCTACAGACAACCTTGTCTTCAGATTATTAATCTCCCTCAAACTAGATCCTGCAATTAACATATCATCCACATACAAGAGTAGAAATACATATGAATCAGTGTATTTCTTGAGGTAACAACACTGATCCTTTTCAGCTTTGCAGAATCCACCCTTGGTCATGAAGAGTCAAACTTCTTGTACCACTGCCTTGGTGCTTGCTTTAGTCCATACAAGCTCCTAGTGAGCTCGCACACCATGTGTTCCTTGCCTGGAACCACAAATCCTTCCGGTTGCTGCACACAGGTCTCTTTGTCCATATCTCCATGTAAAAACGTTGTTTTTACATCCATTTGCTCTAGATGCAAATTCTCCGATGCAACAATACTCAACAGAATTCAAATAGAGGTTAACTTCACAACAAGAGAAAATATATTCAGCATAATCAATACCTTTCCTTTGTGAATATCCTTTAACAACTAAACGAGTCTTGAATCTTCTTTTGCCATCTGGTTCAGTCTTGATTATGAACATCCACTTGTTCAGCAAAGCTCTCTTCCCTGCAGGTAACTCAGTCAACACCCATGTGTCGTTCTTCTCAAGTGACTTCATCTCATCATCCATGGCTTGCTCCCACTTACTAGAATCCTCCACTTGTAGGGCCTCATCAAAAGACTCTGGTTCCCTCTCATCAGTCAGCAATAGATAGTGTTATGAAGGTGAATATCTATATGGTGCCCTGATGGTTCTGGATGATCTCCTAACACCTGCTCAGGTTTAACTTGCTCTACTTCAGATTCTTCATAGGAGTTGGTTGAGTATCTGCTTCAACATCTCTGGGGTTACTCTTCTCCAACTCAACCTCAACTCCCACTTGCTTTGTCATCTCAGAGTATTTAGTTCCGCGTGAACATTAATATATGAAAGTACATCAAATATTAATCAGGCTCCACAACCTAACAAAATATTAATATTTTGTGCTCTTTATTATCCATCTACGAAATTATAGAAATGAAAAGTAATGTAGATGGAGTAGAGCAGGAGCTGAAAAAATATTGCATCTCATCTCAAATTCAACCATCATAGATTTGTTAAAAGCAGAAAAAACATGGCACTATCATTCCCAGTAAATATAAGATCATCAACATATTTTTTTTTTGGTAAAAAAAGTATTTTATTTACCAAAGTAAGCAATCAAAATAACCAACCAACAGGCTTGGACATAAAGCCCCAAGCATTATCATTTGAAAATTTATCTCTATGCATTTAGTAATATACATCGAGTTGTTGTAGTCCACTTCCTAATCTAGCATGTTGAGATCCTACAATCAAAGAATAGATGATAAATGTCTTCATGATCCATTTGACACACGGGTTGTTTCTATCCCCCATTTAGCTAATCCGACTTTTGTTGATAGCCCTTTAAATTAATGCAATATATAGTATGAATAGCCATTTTGGTGCCCCATAGTTTTCCAAGACCACTTTCTCCACTCCACTTTCCCCATATTTCCTTTCATCTTCTTATACACATTCCTAATAGAGTACTGGTCCATAAGCAACAAAGTTTTTTCATTATATCCAGCTACCTGGAGATGTTTGTGTTCCTTGAAGATCCTTTGTACAATCAACGACACTTCTTTCTTCTGTATGACCCATACTCCTTAGGCAAGGCAATAAGTGCTTTCTTTGCTTCTTTTGACCAACATGATTTCTCCTTGGCAATAAGTGATTTTTGTACAATCTCAACATTCCATATACAATGAAACCTTCTACAAATACTTTTAACATGCAGGATCTTCTTAGGCAATTGTGCCCTTCCAACATAGGATAGAAATTGGGTAGCCCAGTTGTTGGCTTTACTCAACATCTTGTCTATCAAAGGCTTCTATTGAACTATATAAATTCTTTTAGTACCCCTAAGTATTAAAAAGGTATTTCTCCCTTGATAAACCGTAGTCCTTTCAGTATTTGATCTTCAACAGACTGCGTGATTCCTCCAAAATAAACACTATTTTTATCTACATTTGCCACCAGTCCTGAAGCCTTTGAGAACAACATAAAGCATGTGTGTAGACAACTCACAGATTTTATATCTCCCCTACAGAACATCAACATTTAATCACACTATGAATATTTTCCTAGATTTTTAAATCTTAACAAAGAGAGAATACTCATATGGACATTTCAGGAAACCAAATTTTAAAAAATAAGTCTCAACGTGAATATATCAAGCTCGCGCATCTTGTTTTAGTCCAAAAAGAGTTTTTTTAACTTCTCTACTTTATGCACAGTTTCAATTTTGATATAACTAGAAGTTTTATCAATAAATACCTCTGCGTCCAAGTATTAATGTAGGGAAGTTGATTTGACATCCAACTAAAAGATAGGCCACAAATTTTGTGCCGCGAAGGCAATTACAATTCTAATTGTGTCATGAACTGGAGCAAAAACTTTAGTTTATTCCACACCATATATAGCTACAAAATTATTAGCTATGACATGAGATTCGTCACCAATGGTTCACCTTTTGTGATGAAAATTATATTTTTTATTGAAATACATGAAGCACATACTTTCAAGGACGAAACATAAAATTTCGTGACAAAGTTTTATCCACTAAAATTTCCCGCAAAAAAAATAAGTATTAGTGACGAATTTAAAGTTCTTAGACACACATTATTTTGTCACTAAGTATGTACCCATTGTGTGACGAATCTCATTTGTCCTAAATTAATTAAATTTTGGACACCAAATTTTTTTGTCACGAAAAAGCATGTCGATGCAATAGTGACAAATCAGAATTTGTGGTTAATCCTTGTGTAATTTAGCAAAAAAATTTAAAATTTAATTGTGACCTTAGTTTTTGTCACTAATTCAAATAATTAGTGACAATTATATTATTTTCTCTATTTAAACTATAATTTAATCACAATAAAATATTATCACAAAAAAATAATTAAATATCCGTGACTTAAATTTTGTAGTCAATTAATAAAATGATTAAATACAAAAAAAATTTGATTATAGATTAAAATAACATGAATATTAA